CCCCAAAACCCCAAAACCCCAAAACCCCACTTTACTTTTTATTTAAAATAATGATAAGATAAATAATAAAAATTTGAGTAATAAACTTAATGTTATGAGGGTCTATACTTTTAAGCTTTAGTAAGTTTCTAGCTCTTCCTTCACTTCTTCTTTTTCCCCTTCTTGCCCTTCTTCTTCTTTTTTATCTTTGGAGCTGGATGAGGTACAGCAGTTGTCCATAATTACCTAAACTCTGGTTTTATATTTAAAACTGTCCTATTGCTTTTCATTATATTTCGTTAGGCCTAAGAAAATTAGAATTTAATTTATGCTTACAGTCATTGTCCTTTCATGTTAAGGACCTAATTCACATTCTAAAATAGCATGAGCTAGCTCAAAATAGGCTAAGCATTCTTGATTTCTTTCTAGCATATACATACAGCAGCCTAGATTATTATAAACTGTTGCAGTATCTACTGTATCCCCTCCAAGTCTTTCCTCTCTAATTTCCCTCGCTTGCATGTAGCACCGTAAAGACCAAGCGGGCTCATCCATATGATAAAGGACACTACCCAAACCGCAGAATGGGAAGGCCTTATCTGGATGATTATAAACTAAATTTATATTTTTAGCTCTCATATAACAGCTTAAAGCAATATCATCTTTCCCACAAGATTCGTATACAGAACCTAAACTCATCTCAAAGAATAGTTCTAGCTCATTCCTAAGCTTTGCTACATTTAAAGTGGATCTCCACTGTATTCTAGCTTACTCAAAAGAATGTACTGCCATTTCATAATGTCCCGAATTCTAATATACAATAGCTGATTCAATTAGAGTAGCAATTTCATGAGGTGCATCAGGTGGGAAAAATACCTCTTTAATCAAACACGGTGCCACTCCGGAGTTACAATGCTCTCCTCTAATATTGCAAGGAAATACATTATCAATCATCTCCTTTCTTGCCTATCTGACTAAATCAAGAGTCTAAGGTTCTGGTTTTGTTGGAGCATCCGCCCACTTAATGGGCTTTGGAGGTGGTTCATCTTTCTTTCTTGCTGGCGCCTTTTTTGCCTATTTCTTTTTCTTCTTCTTCCCATCACCTTCATCATCAGGCTTAGGCATATGCTTTCCAAATAAAACTCTTGGAAGTTTATATGGCCTTGGGTTAACTTGATCAACAAGAGGCTTTGGAGGGATAGGTGGAATTAGCCCGTCAAGTTCATTAAGTATTTAATCGTAATCAAGTATAAAGTCCTTTTCTTCTTCAGCTTTTTTATTAAGGAATTCTTAAAATAATTTTTGCTGCTCATCAAGTTCTGAATCAGTTTCCCATCCATCATCACCCTCTTCATCTGAGAAAATATCCTCCTCGTCTGAGCCAACTCCTCCAGTGTAAGCTGTTTTTCTAGTCACATCATCATAATTTATCGGTGCTTTATGAATCGTTTATGCTCTGTGAAAACTAAGTTTTTCTACAAGGAAATCATTCAATTTTCCCGCTATATTATCTGAGGTGTTGACACAATTGCAAGCAATTCTACCAAGAACAAAGATAAATTCATGAAACAATAATCCAGGTTCTCCATCTTTTGGTTCGCATTATGTTGTTTAGTAATTTTTATCTGCCTCATACGTTCTTATGATTTCATGAGACTCTTCAAAAAATGAGTATTCATCAGCAGTCATTGGTGGAATGGTAGCTTTAATAAGCTCTTCCAGGAACTCAACGTTTAGCATATGAGGAATAAGGAATTTAACTCTAGCGAGCTTAAGGAAGCATCTGCAAATCATAACTATATTCTTCTCCTCGATATCTCTCCAGCTGACTACTCTTTTTCCTGCATTGAAATTAGTATGCACAAATTAAGTAAATAGCTGCTTCAACTAATCAAGATAGTTCAAATACACTACTAATGCTTCCTCAGATAATATCTCTAAAGTCTCTTCCTCCATTTTAGGAACTCTTCCCCCGATTACTATATCCATAGAATATAAGAATGAAATTATATTAATGGCACTTACATCTATTATCACTTGTCATAATTTAATCTACGAGCATTTATGAAAACATTGTCTCAAAAGGATTATCCTCTTGTCCAAATAATGCCTTAGATAACAATACTATTGCATAGTAAAACTTAGTGTTATCTAGGAACACATTTTCTGGTCCACAAGCTTCTTTAAATGCAGTATAGAATATCTCGATTCCATGCTTGTTTGATATCATATTTCTTTCTATTGCTAGCAAGAAGAATTAAGTGATATTCATCAGCCCATCCTATAGTAGATTTATTAGTAAGTGAAATATGTTGATTATTCATTGAAAATTAAGATACTTACTTCATCACACTTAGTTTGATAGAGTTGATCAAGTCTAGCTTCTTCAGTCTTTCTTAAAATAATACTGTGCTCTGCCATCTTAGTTGCAACGGCAATTTAAAATTATATCTCGAAATTAATTATCCTTGCACAATATAAAATTTTCTCATAAGGGGTTTTGGGGTTTTGGGGTTTTGGGG